GGTTTAACATTTCACCCTTTACCCTACACCCGGGCTAACGGAATTAGCTACTCATTACGGAAAGTAAATGACATAAATAAATGACATAAAGTAAAGACAATAACTGAAAGTAAATGACGGAAAGTAAAGAAGGAAAATAAATACGAAAAGTAAATGACAATAAAGAAATAAATAAAAGACGAAATGTAAATAACAATAATTAAAACTTAAAAGCTTATAAATACTAATTTGAGAGTGTTTGTAGGAGTACAAAGTGGAACAAAAATCGTCCAGGAGGTGTTGTTTTTAAAAGAGAGGCCAAAGGCCTTCTTTTATACCCAACACTAGAAGAAAAGACAAAAACTTAAAGGATAAGTACAAAGTACATAACGAGAAGACAACAAAAAGTAGGTTTCAACTCCATCAAAACAAGTCACCCAAAGGTCTTCTCCACATCCTTTCATCAGCTGCTAATGGTCCAAAACGAGAGCTTCTTCAGCTCAGACCTCCATCCAAGACACGGCTTAATCAATAAGCACCTCTTTCAAAAAGCCAAAACGCAGTCGGGTAATGCTGTTGGAATGCTGCAGCATTACAGTGTAGTGTAATGAGTCAAAAGATGTTATATACTCCAACTCGTTGTAAAAACAAATTCATCATCACAATTAGCTCCCAACATAACAAATGGAAAATAAGAAAGTAAAAATGACTCAAGGTTGGGATAAATTATGAAAAATCTACCTAATAAGCATAAGAAATAGGTACTTTAAGCATGTAATAAACCATGCTTATAAACTTACTTTGTATTCCGTCATATTTAATGGTAAATCGGGTCTCCCCCGTCATCTTCGGATGTCTTGACACTCCCACGTATTATTTAAATCTCATTTTCTATATATATAAATATCGTACGATACTACGTCATTATTTATATTTATATAGTGCATGTATATCATTTTATTTTATTCGTGGGAATGATGGTGTAAGTTGGTGATAGGCATTGTGATTATTATGTAATCACCAAATCATCCTCTCACTTCCACTCAGAAATAGGCATTGTGATTATTATGTAATTTCCGAGATAAAGAGCTTAAGATCACGGCCGACTACATGACTGGTTTAGGTTGATGTCAATGGTTTTAAACCTGTAAGTGATGCTCTATAATGTCAATATATGACTTATTTTGTGTTCTGTCATAATTACCGGTAAATCGGGTCTCCCCCGTCATCTTCGGATGTTTTATTGTTCCACTTCGAGTTATTCAGGTCTTATTGTCTTTATTCCTGTTTAAAGTTACGTCAACTATTTGCATGTATATTTTTATAGATGTTCCTTTATGTTTACGTAAACTCTTTTGTTTGGACTCACTAGGCGTAAGCCTAACCCTCTCTCTTTCTTGTTATAATTACTTTTTAGGTTCCTTTAGCGGTGGGGCGGAGCGTTGGTTCGTGAAAGGCTCTTTTGTAATTATAGCCTTGTTACTTTTGAACGTTGCGTTTTTTATGTTACGGCATTTTGGAGATTGATAGAAATATTGTCTTTAATCTAGAAAAATCTAGATTAGTAGGTCGTTATTTATCTTCTCAGTAGCGAAATTGTAAACGCTATACTACTACTTTGTTGGGTGAATTTTTTTTTTTTTTTTATTTAAGATTCTGGTTCTCGTTAGATATTTTCGGTTTAGACTATCTTTTTTTTTAGGGTGTTACATTTTTCCCTTTCGTTTGTAATTAATGGTTCATAGTAGCTTGTTTCTTGTATTCCAGGATCAAGCTCAAGAATGGATTATTGGACTCAAACCAACAAACTTAGGCTCTGATGAACTCAAAGTTTCTCAACTATGCATTTCTTTGTTATTCCTTTCAAATTATTTGTGTTCTTCAGCTTTGCAGCAATCGGGGAGTGTAGAAACAGGATAATTTTGTAATGTTTTGATTTTTATAGCATTTTTTAAGTCCTAAGGATGGATGTGAATTGAACGATTAAACACATGATCTTCAATCTGTGTCCTAAGGTTTGTATTTTTCTATAATCTTGGATAACAAGTGTTTTAGGTGCATAATACCGAATGTTGTTTTCATGTTATATGATGATGGATGGATATGCAAGGTAAATGAAAAGATTAGGCATAGTCAATGTTGACTTTTTAATGGTATGATGTTATGTGCTATCATAAATATTTTCATGTTTTCTGGTTTGTCTTTGCAGCTTCGTTCTTACCATGCTAAACAACTTTCTTTTACCCAGAGCCGTTCATGGGGAGGGCGGGTCGGGCGTACGCCCAGGGACCACAAGAAATAGGAGCCCAAATTTAAGTTTGGTATATAGTAGTAGTTCAAAAAAAATTAGTAAATAAAAGACATACAATTTTTTTAATATCTAACAAGACTCCAAAAGAATTTAGTATTATATTAAGGAGCTATACATGTATTAATTAAATTACATTGGAGAAAATATGTAAAAAGTTAATTGATCGTTCATTTTCTATTATTGCTTATTATATTAAGGGGTTATACATGTATTAATTAACTACTTGCTTAGGAATACTCAAAAAAGGGTTTTATATGGAAGTATTAGTATATCTTAAATTCAATATTATTTCTGATGATAAAAACAATATATTGAAGATATTTTTTTTGTACATATTGATGCCCTTTTTTACATCTCACTCAAGACCTATAAAATGTCAAGAACGTTGTTGCTTTTACCTTACATAACTTTGTATAAGCTAATCAACTCTTACATCGGATATGTCAGTTTATTGGGACACTTCTACATTTCATTATTAAAAGCTGGGACAGTAGAACACCAAACTTGGCGGTAACGGATTGAATGTTGCTCTTGGTTGCGAGTATTCTTTACCTTTTTCCTGTCTACAACTCTCTCTATCTATGTAAGCTTTTCTCCTTCCAAAAACCAAATATTAGGTATATGAAAATCCTTTTTACAATAGTCAAGTGAGAATCCTTAGGAATTACTTGATATCTAGCACAAAGACATGTAGAGATATTAATATCTCGACGACTAGCAGTGGGATATAAAAGAGAACCAATCTTTCCTCTATAGTTAGTTACATCAACTGATTTTCCATCAGGGTCTTAGTGTAACTTTAATGGATGATCCATTGGTGTTTTCATGGGTGGACACTGATTGAAGTCAAATTTCTTTAACAAATATTTAACACCTTTGATTTTCATTTCTTCCTTCTTTATAAGAGATTGTGATGATTTTGAAATGAAGAAGGATTTGACTTTTTGATCTACAAACAGTAGAAAAGTGTCATTTCTTTTCACAATTGAAACAACTATCATTAGATCTATCATAAGTGGACCGACTTTAATTGACACAAGGTGATCTATATGAGAATCTTTCTTTTAACTTTCTTTGAAAACAACTTTTTCTGGCAACTTTATTGAGATTAGAAGCAACTAAAGAAAGAGTGTCACTTATGTCTTGCATGGATAAACCTTTAGTCTCATTATCAAAATATTCATTGAGATAAGTGGAGGTTTTATCGTGGTGATCAATCAGAGTTGTCAGAGTATGTGTCATATGAAACATTTGAAATAGATTTTATTCTCTTAGAATCAGAAGAAACAAATGCAATATTAGTGTTTTTTGTTTACTAAAAGACATTCTTCTTTAGAAATTTGGTTTGTTCAAAATTATATAAAGTTCTATATAGAGCAGTTAACGGCATATTATAAAGATCCTTAGAGGTTTTTAAACAAACATCAATATTTTCCCAAGAATCAGGTGAACAATCTATAAATTTGCAAATAATCTCAGTATTATCAAATACTTTAAGATCATTTAGAAGAGAATTATACTTGTTGTAGACCTCCGTGAGGGACTCATTATTGTGACAAACAAATAGCTCATATTGACGGATAAGACTTATTCTCTTGCTCTGTTTTACTTTCAATGTCCCTTCATATCAAACAGTGAGAATACTCTACATGTCTCTTGTGGTGGCAATATTCATAATGGAATGATAGACATCATCTGGAGAAGACATACCAATGGCCTTTGTTGGTGGTGGTGGCAGGGGACAGTAGTGACCATTAAACAAAATATTATTTTTAGGGTTATATCAAATAAGAGTAAATTTATAATTTTTTTAGTTTTCTCCCATCCTTGTGATTTTTGTTCTAGCTCCTTCGGTCAAACAAAAGAGTAAATTATAGAAATGAAATAATTACATGTATGGTTATCATGGTTTCACTTTTCTTATGGATCAAGTCCCTTGACCTAACACTCTTAACTTTATCTTCGTTAAATCAAGGATAAAATGGTCAATTTATAATTTTTCAGATAAAATCATTTAGGGTTTTTCTAACCCCACCCCCTCCTATGGGTGCATGTGAGGGGGTGAGATTGTGTAGGGGGTGAGTATGTGAGGGTGAGAGTGAGGGAAAGTTGTGAGGGTGAGAATGAGGGTTGGTGTGAGGAGGAGGGGGTGGAAAGTGATGTAGGGGGGTGGGGATATCAACCCCCAATCATTTATTGTACAAGGTTAGATTCCTTACAACCATAAAAACATTTGATGAAACGAAAGAATCAAAAACATAAAACTCATCGGAATTCCCAATTCCGGCCTCCCTTCTCTCCTTTCTCCGGCACCCTCCCTCCTCCCTCAACTCTTACCACAACATTCCCCTCACCGTTCACCTCCGTCCTTCCTACATAATCGAACCATGGCCACCACTGTGACACTTCATTTTTATCGCAACAATAGTCACCATTGTTGAGACTCCATCTTCATCGCAAAAGAACTGAAATCACATTGATGATAAACCCAATCCATAATTTTAATATAACATTGGGACCAGATATGTAATTTACTCCAAAACAAACAAAAATAAGTCATTTTTGTCTCTCAACTCTAGTCCCGATCCTAATCTTACATTGTGACAAACGTGAACAAAGTTCTGGCTTGTTCCATGTCGCGCTAAACATGGAAAACCGAGTTTTTAAGCAAATATTACTAAGGTGTATCGACTTAAAAAGGGTTTTTTTTTTCATAATGCTAAAGCCTACAAGTATCATATGAAGGAAAAGGAATTTAAGTTCAAGCAATACAAACAAATAGTAAATATCAAATCCCCAGGTTCGGATGCTTCGTCAACCTCGATTTCAATTTTCAAATACCAATAGTAACATGATGCACAATTCAACGCCTTCGGCTATGCCTTTTGCTCTTCTTCCTGTTTCTGCTGTCATCAGAATCAGATTCCGACTCTGATTCGGATTCGGATTCCGATTCCGACTCAGATGACTCGGAACTTGAACTATGCCGACGCTGTTTCCTTTTCCTCTGTTCTTTCACCTTCTTCTTGTTCTTCTTCCTTCTCTTTCTCTCTTCTCCAGAGTCGGAAGATGAAGTGTAACTTGAATCACTATCTTCAGAAGAAGAACCAGACCCAGTAAGTGATGAAGACTCGCTATCAGATTCAAACACTGAAGCTTCACTATCGCTGTTATTATGCTTCCTTTTATTATTCTTACTTTTACTACTATGCTTCTTCTTCTTCTTATCAACTTTCTCAATCTCCGGGTTATCCAAATCATATGAAACTGGACCCCGCATTCTCAATTTGGGGTTTTTCAGCTGCTGAGTGCGTGAGGGCCGTGAAATGTAAACTCTTTCATTTTTACACTCATATGTCCAGTGCCCAGGTTGGAAACACTTCTGACAATGAGTGGCTGTTGACATTGAAGATTTTTGGTCTTTCCTTTCACCCAGCCTCACTTGTTTTTCTGTACTCATCAGATACATTTGCCGCTTTGCTTCTTTCCTTTCTTGCCATCTACTTGGCCCTTCTTCCTTCTGCCCATACGCATTTACATTGCGTGCTGCAGCAGCTGCTGCACGTTCTGCTTGAGAACGACTAAGCCCCTTAGCAGCTGAAAGAGTTGCAGCCTTGATTCTTTCTGCTGCATCCTGTGCACCACCTTTTTCTTCTTTACCAGACATCTACTGAACAGAGGAAGAATCAAAACCTGAATCCAGATCCTGTAACAATTGGAACAACCTGATCGGAAAAACAGATATCAGTGGCAGCACAAGCAACCATACTCCGATAAGACGCTCAAACCATTTATTTACAAAGTTGGTAATTGACGTTCAAGTTGTATAAAATAACAAGTATTCCCTAAAAGTTGTAAAGCATTTTCTAGTAACAAAGATTCATGAGTTGCAGGAGATTCAGTTAACTAAAATCAATTTGAATATTACACTCGGATGCCATAATCCAAGTTATATGTTGCTGATACCACAACTACGATTTATGACCCAAATTAATGCACATGCCTATGTGTGTATATAACAATCTTTGTTAAAGACATCAGTCCTCTCTAAGGTGGTAAATCAAGAAGCACAAAAACATACAAGTGACAGTCACTAAAGCAACCCCACCCCCTCTCACATGCCTTAAAAACTGAGATCTGGCTGGCTCCATCACCATCCTCTCTCCCCTTAATAGGCAAAAACATTGTCCACTGGACAATTTAACAATCTACATAACCCCAGATTTGGACATAATCTGATAGTTTAAGAAATTTTAAAGAACCATCGTATTACCATAAGCATGCATACTGAGAGATGCGTCAATGGTTATCAGTGTTCATATAGGCGAAGAGGTATGTGTTAGACAGCATCATCTAATGAAACCATATATTGTGCTCTAAATACCATCAATCATGGTTTAGGGAGAGATTGGCATGAGTAGTTGGCTACTTAGCCTCACAATTGAGGAACGAGAAGAACAAGTTAGCAACTTATTCCATCAAAAGTTGAGTTCTTATCAAGGCCAGTCCTAAGGTTTCGGATGCTCATGGCCGAAAGCTGGAAAGGAGCCCCTAACATGTAAAATAAACAAACAAAATATACTATTTGAAGGGGTTTGGAACCTAGTCAAGCCAAGCATCTTATCCCCATGGTGATTTTTATTAAGTATAAAAAAAATGATACAACAGTGGACACAAACTAAAACCAAAAATAATCATTTATCTAAATTATTTTGGGATGGCCGGATGTGAGGGTTACCATTGTAATAGTGATGTATCTTGTTGTTTGCTAATAAAGTCATGTCATTGCCTACATAAACACACAAAGAGTTATCTTCTCCATTGACCTTCTCATCTCTAGAAAATGTATCTTAGTAAGCACTGAAGCTAGGAGTCTTTAGTAGTTTAGTTTGAGAAATTTCCTAAAAGCATCATCCATTTTCAGCAGTTGATAACATTACTATCTCCTCTCCAAGGTTGCATAGGCTTGCACTCGATAAACATGATTACCATATCACTAACTCTAGGAAATGTATCTTAGTAAGCACTGAAGCTAAGAGTCTTTAGAAGTTTAGTTTGAGAAAGTTCCTGAAAGCATCATCCATTTTCAGCAGTTGATAACATTACTATCTCCTCTCCAAGTTTACATAGGCTTGCACTCGATAAGCATGATTACCATATCACTAACTCGTACAATTCATTTTATGCAGCCAACTTAAAAGCATGTGTCTTTCTACTTGTTACTTCATATAATGTTGACTTGCTAATAAGAACAAGTTTTTGGTCATATATTATTAATCGATTATTTGATAAATTCAATTCAATAAATACAGATTCCAAACAATCTTTGCTTATTAGAAATATAAAAAAGAAATCTAACTTCAAGTTGCACGAAGCCTGGCCTTCCATCCATCAGTCCTTTTCCTGGGATCTACTCTACAAGGGGCGGTACGGACAGCACTAATAAATCGGAGAAGGGGTCAAAGGAAGGGACACATCTACCAAATTGATGAAAAGAATGTACTCTTAGCATACATGTATACATAACACTCCTAATTAGCTAACTGATTCCTCGCGTCAGTTTCTGGCACAGTTCAGACACGATCAGTGGCAATTATTCATATCAATCAGCTAACTAACATGCAGAGCCGTTACATGAATGAATCCATCTCCGAATAAAAAAGCGAAAAAGTGGCTGATCTATCGGAAAAACTCACGGCATACATCCAAAACTCCGAGATATCAAATATGTAACTTTAAGCTTATAAAGCTTTGATTACGATTACAATACCAAACCGATTCCGAAGATTCATCCTCTCGATAAAACCCTAGAAAGACGATGCATCATAACGTAATAACAAAAGTATATCCAACAACATCGAGGCATAAACACATAATGAGATAAGTAACATTGTTGTCCTGCGAATTCAAAGAAGTAATCTGGTGGAATAAGCGATCCATACCTTTTCAAGGACGAGGGGAAATTCACACAAAAAAAGCAACGCGGAAGGCAATTGGGATTTTCTTCAGAAACCCTATTTAATTTTAACAACGAGTCACGTAACCTGACCGGGTTCGGGTCATTTAATGCCGGGTTTTGGTACGATTCCGGGTCAAGGTTTTTTTCCTTTTTATCTGTAGTATATTATAAACCATTTAAAAAAAATTTATCATGAAATACTGTTTATTGATTTATATTACTTAAAATTCAAGATTACAAGTAAATTGTATGTAAGTACCATTTATTAAAGCTTTATTTTTTAATTTATGTATCTAACTATAAATAAACATAATCAAATATGAGATAGACATTTCATATTGAATATAAAAAATTTAAAATATAATTAGGATAATCATTAGTCATAACAAAATACTTAATTATTATTTTTATAAATACATTATTTCATTGATAAATCTAAATTAAATTATAAATAAAAAATTAAATTAAAAAAATTACACAAAAAACGATAACTTTAAATAGTACATTTAATACTATTATAGATGTATACTTTTTTCCAAATTTTTATGATATTTTTAAATTTATATTTTATTCAAAAATAAAAATAATATCGTTTTCTCAAACCACTAAAAACCGTATTATATCGACGGAGATAAATAATAAAACAAAACATTAAAATTAAAATATATCTCGATAGATCATGCGAGCATCCCTTCTAGTATTCATAAATAGAGCATCTCGAATTAGGGGTGATCTTGAGTTGGGTTAATCAGATTGAAAACATTTGAACAACTCAACCTAATGTTTGCGGTTTACAAAATCTTAACCCAACCCAACCCAAACCAAAGTGCATTAAATATTTTCCTAAACTTGAATATGTTGTTTTCACTACACATAATTTCTTTTTCGTCATCAACCGTTTAGTAAACTTATCCATACTTCTTAAATATTACGTATATCGTGTTCAATTAATTTTCTCAATCACGGTTACGGGACATATATACGAATAAGTTATATAGAGATGATGAATAAATTGAAAATATGTGTATATAAAGAGGGTATGGGTACGTGATACTGTAATTGTCTAATGTACATATTAATAGAAACTCTACAATTATATTAAATCCAAGAAATAAAAGGATATCGGTTCATCAGGTTGGATTGGGTTCAAATAAGAGTAACTCAATATCAACTCAATACCTAAAATTTAAAAAATTTACAACTCGATTAGACATCAGATTGCTTCGAGTTGAGTCATTTCGAATTGAATTTGGTTGAGTCTCGTGGTTTTGAGCACCCCAAAATCCAATGATAAAAATAAATAGTTGATGAAAAAGTGGAGACCACTTGATGAAAAGGTTAACCATTAGAGCAATAACCTGAAGAATGACTTGATATCCAAAAAGTTTAGATGATTTATGTATGTGTATTAAAAATGAATTAAAAATACAAAACAGAGCTTTTGAAAGACTTGACCATTGGAGTAAGCATTTGAAGATGGTTTTTGTTTAGTGAAAATCTGATGTGACAAATAATCAAGTCTTTTAAAGACTTATTCATTGAGGATGTTCTAAGGATTAAGTTTCGGTTTTGATGTCTGCACTATGTTTTTTCCACGACATTGGTCTTCTAATCATTGTTTAGAGTACGCTTTTGCTAAAAGTTGTGATTTTTGTTTTTATGGTAAATTTGTTGTTTTCGTTCTTAAGGTTTGTAATTTATTGCTTTTTTTTGTTCATATGATTTACAATTTATCGTTGTTGCGGTCTCTTGTGGATTATAATTTTTTACTATTTTGGTCCCTTGTATTTAAAGATTAAATAGTAATAGATTACAAACCATAGAAACGAAAATCACAATTTCTAAATCACGAGAATGAAAATCGATATTATTAACAAACCACGGGGATAGAAATCGTAATTAACTCCTTTATTTATGACAAGTTTGTCCCAACGTGGTTTTAAATAGTGCTAACGGGTAGGTTATGAATAAGGTAAGAGGTTATTCTATTATTTAATCTATTTAAAATAACGTTATCCATCGTTGACGGCTAGGACTATTGGGGTATCTAATCTCATTCGTTTCCCTAGCTTTCGTCTTTCAGCGTCGGTGTCGGTCCAGCAAAGTGCTTTTGTCGTTGGTGTTCTTTCCGATCTCTACGTATTTCACCGCTCCACCAGAAATTCCCTCTGCCCCTACCATACTCCAGCTTGGTAGTTTCCACTGCCTGTCCAAAGTTGAGTCCTGGGATTGCCTTCGCCAAATGAAATATGAATATTACTCATAAGTCTATATCCATATCCTACCCGACCCATTAAAATAGCGTGTAACAAGTAAATGACAAAACAAAATTTCATTTTCAACTATAAACAATATTGTTAAACCTCAAATATATATGTAAAACATAAATTTATAAATATAGTAATTATTTTATATCTAATTTGTTACAGTAACATTTTAATATTATACAAAATATAATCATAGTATAATGTTTTAGAGACAATATAAAAATTGTAAAACAACAATTTTCGTTGTATTTATTTTCCAACCTCTTGTTCTTTCTCATTTAATCATCATGAACTCTTTTACTCGATAAATATGAAAATAGTAAATTGAATTACACATTAATATACGACACATATGATAACATTATAAAAATATTAATATGTAACTTGATATATTTGTGTGTGTGTATATATACATAGAGAGAGAGAGAGAGAGAGAAGAACTATGCAACCTTTCTAGATTATACAACCAATGCAATCCATCTATCCACCAAAAAAACTTATGCATTAAGTATTATTTATTGATGTATATTACTTAAAATTCAAAATTACAAGTAAATTGTGCATTAATACAACTTCTTAAAGTTTTATGTTTGAATTCGTGTAACTAACTGCGGATAAACATAATCAAATACATCTCATTTTAAAATATAAAAAATCTAAAATATAAGTAAGATAATTATTGAGTTCTAATAAAAAAATTAATTATTATTTTTATAAAAAAATATATTATTAAACTTAAATTAATATAATAAAAATATTTCAAATTAAAAAAAATATAAAAATAAGAAATTTTAAATAGTTAATTTAATATTAATATTAATATATTTTTTGCAAATTTTATACGATATTTTCAAATTTATATTTTATTTAAAAATAAAAACTATTTAAAAATAAAAACATTACTGCTTTCAAAACCACATAAAATCATATTATATCGACACACATAAAAAATAAAAACAGTAAATTCAAATTTTAATACATTATAAAATTTGTAATTACGTCACTCAAATACGCTTTAAAAATGTATTTTAATATAATTAAAATAACGTTGTCTTTAAAATATACATTATAAAATTATTTAAAAATACATTTATTCATAAAATTACTTTAATTTTCAAGCCGAGCAGGGTCGGCCGGTCCATAACCGGTCCCGGTCCCACGAAATTGTCAAAAACCCCAACCGATCCCGGTTTTCGGTCCCATAACCGGTCCCGGTCCTCCAGCAGTCCCGGGCCAAGCCGATTTGGCCATCACTGTGAAGAGAAGGGGTAGACCTAAGAGAATGTAGGATGACCGACCAATTGGAATTCGAAAGACGTGACCTCTAACAGGAGTTTGTGTAGACATAAGCCTCGGGTTATATTGAATAGAGGGTAGAGGGCAAATAGCTCCTTGTGTGGGATATATGGAGTAGCCTAGCCAGATAGGACTCGACCATACTTACTTAATTTCGTTGTACATTGTTCATTTACATGCCATTGAATCATGCACACACAATTTCACCCTCCACAATTTCTTTAAGTCTAACCACTCACTACGACACATAAACATCCAATTCTTTGAAATCTAACCACTCACAACGACACATAAACATCCAACTCATTGCAACTAAATTCTCAACTCACATCTCTTCATTCCTCCATGCTTTTAGAGGTCAACAAAGAATTCGAAAAAAGATCTCTGCTTAAGCTTAAAATCTCTTCACCATGGTCGACCATTTCCACACCGTTACCCTTTTTCGATCCGACAAGAACCATCATTGGTTGTTTCGGCCGATTAAAGTTCAATCTCCCCAAATTTCTCACTAAAATCAATCTCTAATATATGACTTAGCCTAGACGTTGGCATTGGGACCATTGTTATTGTTAGCCCACATAAACTTCATCAAACTACTCGAAACGTGTTTCAAACTAATAAAAAAAAACCCCTTAATTTGAAGCTTAGCATGAAAGATTACCACTAAACTTGAACAGTCGACTTCGGCCCTTCCGTTCCCTGCGTTATTTATCCTAAGTTCCTTTAAAAAAGGTCGATCAGAACGAGCAAACCCTATGCTAAAAACACAAAATACACCTGGATTCAAACTTAGCACCGAGCAAGTCGATCTAAGTTTGACCAATCCAACCCACCAGCTAACCACACCCAACCACGATTATAACGAAACATAAGACTTCAATCATGCAGGAATATATCTATATACATATAGAAACATAGAAATTTTCACCAGCAACTGTGGAATAAAGACGATCCCAAGTAACCCTCCTCTTACTCATAAAGAGACGCATCCTAGAAAATCCCAGTGAGAAGATTTGCAGCTGTGGACATAGCTGCACCCGTGATGGCAAACTGCACAATTTGATGTTGAGAAGAATCATCGGATGTTAGCGCCAGAGTTGCACCTGTGATCGCTCCTGCAACCGCACTGTTTTTCTGCATCGAAACATTACACATTCTTTCCTTACTAGGTTTGCATACAGATGATCAGAAAGTGGATACCCGTCAAGATCAAATAAGAACGAAAAATGCAAGTGCAGCAGAAACACAGATAGAAGATATTGAGAACTTACCCAATCATGAACTCCTCGAGCTTCTTTTAAACCAAAAGTAAGACCGGAATACATCCCAGCAGCCAAACCTGAGAGAAGAAATATTGATGATCATACAACAAATGGAGGATATACCAAATCTCATCCCTATAAGATTTATCGTTCACATCAATAGCTTCTCATTAACTCTGAGAAAAGAAATAAATACGGACTTAAAATAGGTGGAGAGTATCAAAATTTCATCACTACAATGAAGGCTTTTTTGTAAATATATTGATAAGAACTGTTGTATCATTTGCTTACCCCATTGTAACGATTCTTTCCCAGTGCTCGTCACCTAGAAACATCAAAAAAGTAATTAAAAAACTTCAAACAAGCTCGTAATCAATCCAAATGTTGTTGAAGACATGTCCATATTACTATAATAGGAGTGTTAGAATTGTTCAAGTTACGATTTTAAGAACCACACTTACCATTAAGATTCCTGACTCATGATGCACTCCGTGGTTTTACAACACTAAAGATGAAACATAAACACATAACAAAAACCAATACATGGCAATAGCAGGAAGTTCACATATAACTACTTGCACACCAGCAGAGCCATGATTTTCATCAGCATATAACCATAGTTGCATAATCGGGCTACTCGTACTAACAAACATACCAAGGCTTCAACAGAATTTCTGTTGGTTTCCCCTGCAAATCAAACACCATTTCCAACCATTAGTAATCTACCAGAGAAGGTTGGCTGAAAAAATAGCAAAATTTGAAGTCACACCCTGAAGGCTTCGAAAACGATCGAGCTTTTTTGAATTATCCATACTGGTCTCGTCTCCACTTACATCTGATTATTTCATGAGATATTAGAAAACAGTTTAGCTCAACATTTTCAAAATTGGCTGTCAACATAAAAAAAGTTCAAGCTTCAAGATTTTCCTGGTTCAAGACTTCTTGCACATTAATATATTTTATCATCTCTTGTTGTATATTTGTATTGTCAAGACAATACAGAAGGAAGCACTGACTAATTAGAACTTAGAAGTGCAAAAGTTAGCATCTATGTTTGTAACAGCACTAATTTTCAACCAGGTATATAGATATATACATATCTTTATCATAATTTCTTATAAAGTTGAGTTGTTTCTGAAGGCCCTTAATATAAGAACTAAAACAAGGTAAATAACATCTTTTAGTGAAAAATATATATATATTAATTATAGAGATAAATAAGCAAGCAAACACACAAGTAGCTTACAAAGCTACTTACCAATGAGCACATAAGTAGCTTACTAAGCTACTTACAAACAAACAACATGAGCCACAAAAATCTTATGACAAAGCAAGCTTACTCTTTATAAAAAAGCAAGCCTAGAGAATGAGTTGTAAGAGGAAAAGAGTTCGAGACAACCCTAAAAACATTACAAGGCAAGGCTAAGAAAGAAGATAAGAATGAACAAGTACATATGTGGCATATCCTTATAAATTTACAAGTTGAAAAGTTAAGTGAACAAGCACCTTAAAGCATGTCATACACCCTATAAATAGAAGCTTAAAGGGCTCATTCTTTTTCATCCCAAGATTTGGAACACTACCTAAAAGCAAAATAAGTAAAGACTAAGAAGTGAGCAGGGTATAAATAAGTTGAGTACGTAATGAGATTTACTGGGATACATACATACACACACACACACACACACACACACACACACATATATATATATATATATAAATATTTTATGCATGAAAGAGTATTGCCATATCTTCTTGTAAAAGTTATGCTATGATTATGTGGCAAGGTACACCTTTTATGTCATGAGGCACATGTGGTATATGGAAGTTTTTATATATGTTAAGCATAACCATTTAAATATCCAACGTACGGGATATCGAAAGAAGGTACGTCTTCAAAACGGACCTTATTGGGCAGCCCTTATGTGAACTTGAGGTTAAAGAACCTGTGAGAAGTTGGTTTACTTAACATGTAACCATGAGATCTGAAAGAAATGTTTTTACACATGAAAGTTTATAAGAACCACTTTAACTATTTGGAAAGTATTTTTTTCATGAAACTGTTAAGCTTAAAGCTTACGTATTCATGTATGTATCTCAGGAATCAAGGAGTAGGAACAAGCTGAAGTGTTGCTATTCTAAGATGTTAGAATATTATGAGTTGTAAATTTCCTCATTTTCGTTGTTGTAATAACTCTATTATAATGAAATAAAAGTTTAAGATATGAAGTTTCTTTCATTCACTTGTACTAAGAGCAAAAGGGCGATACCCCTGGGAATGGGAGGTCACAATGTTTGTGCAAAGAGATCTGTAATCAACAACCCTCGAGCCAGCCAACACCCCCCCCCCGCAAAAAAAAAAGAGCATCATGTGAACGCCTACAGCTTCCCACTAGGTGGCTCGCTTAAGATCCCAATGCCCACAAGGAGCTCAATCCCAAAGGAATTGCAACTCCCACGATACCTAAATGACCAGAACATAAGACGGAATGATCACCTAAATAATTTTGATAATCCTTATTACTTTGTTTTGTTCAAGAGCAAGGGAGGACAACCACATGTACATAAAAGCTCAGGAGAATGGATATTGACAGTGACTCCTATGTCCCCTTAAACACTTGCGTAGTCTTTCACAAGTAAAATTGTCCTATTGGGTAAAAAATTGAATTATTGGAATAATAATTTCTTTACTTGGTTATTATTTAATGCTCTGAATACTTATCATATATTAAAAAACAGTTAAAAGAGTTTATATATGGGGAATATCGATTGCCCTCGTTAAAACGCAAAGCAAAAAACCAAAATGTGCGGGCAATTTCCATGGTTAATGTGCAAAGAAACTACAAGTAAGACTTGAGAAGTAAATTTAAAGAGTACAAGCAAGGCTAGAAATCTTGGTCATAATTCATTTTATACCACTTGTTTTTAGAGAAGTTCAGTCATTCATATCAATCATGTATTCCTTTAAAAGATGTCAATTTTACTTGCTAAATGTGTAAGTAGAGGTTAATTTTATCTCTCCTGTGGACCAAAAGTTACCATCAGATGTCAAGTTCACTTTTGGACACAAAAGAATTACAAAATCTATAGAACCTGTCTCGGATTCACCGTTGAACTCAGTTGCTATTTCTTTAGCTATTAGAAAGAACGCATATATATACATACATACATACATACATATACATATATATATATATATATATATATATGCGTATCAGTCGGTTTTTAGTTCATTCTCGTAACTATATATTATATATAACTCCTCCAAAAAACGAAAAATATAATATATCTGGTGGTGACATGAATATTGAATTGCCTCCCATACAATACCTGAAAATCGCCAGCACTTGCTAAACATTCTCTTTTGAAAAGAATTCAGGTACAATACATCATCATAAATTAATAGAGAATTTGGTGGCTTTAAGTTTGTATGTATTTTACAAATCTTTTAAGCAATTTTAACTCCAACGGTTGCACGTTTTATAAATCCAGCTACTAATCTATCTAATATGGAGATTTCCGTGAACAAATGAACATACAGTCCAAAATTAAACAAAAAAACTCACTTTCTAGAGCTGTGAAACATGCCTCTCGTGAAACCGCCTGAACTGCCCCAATCTGCACCACATATATTGCATCATTCTCCGAATCACTTACAGTCAATCGAGATAGATCTATATATATATATATATATAGAGAGAGAGAGAGAGAGAGAGAGATTGACGTACACCGGCGGCCGTAACGAAGCTTCCGGCCATCCTATTGAGAAGAGGATGACCTAAATCGAAGAGGACTCCGGCATTATCGAAGCTCCTCACCTCATCTAGAAACGATCTCGTCTCCAAATTGTGGCCCATTGTCAACTGTTTGTTGAGTGTGGTTTTTGCAGTCTGTGTGAAAATAGAGAAACGGTAGCTAGCAAAGGAACAAAGCGAAGGGAGCACGTGTAGCATTTGTACGTCACACGTGTCAGTGGTTTAGCACCAAATCATGGATTTAGTGACAACTCGTCGCCTATCTACTCACACGTGGATATTTCTCACAATAAACACATGTTATTCTTTCATTCTCCGTTTCCAAACTATTTCGAATTAAAAAATTGGTTAAAATAGTCATTTTTATTTATTAAATTAATCTCTTAATTATTTATCTCCCGATTTAAAAAAATGTCGATATTTATACAAAACCACCTACACAACTTGTTGAAAAAAGACAAAAAAAAATTACGTTTCTAATTCAGGTACGCAAGATCCATCTATACAACTTACGTACTTGGCTAGAAAACTAATGTTTTAGAATTGTGATTCACCCGCATTGTATCGTGTGAATACATCACTAGTTACTCAAAAATGCAATTTAAGAAAATAAAAATATTGTTATAAGAAATTAAGAGCGTCCACAAAAATGTCTTTATTAAATAGTAATTTTTTGATAAAAGACCATCAACTATGTGTTCAAAAAGTTAACTATTAACTACAAGGTGGTGCTTGATTGGTTTGAGCTTGACTCCAAATGTCAAAAATACCAGGAGGTTTCAGGTTCAAATCCAAGAAGGAATAAAAATTCTCTTGTGGCCACGGAGGCTCAAATGCGATGACTCCGGGCTATCTGCAAAACATATGGTCGCCATGAGATTAGTCAGCTCGCATAACGGGTTGGATATTCATGTTAATAAAAAAAGTTAACTACTGGTTTTATAAAGAGCTGTAACATCTCGCTTCAGCAAACCCCAAATTACTAATTTTATAAAATCTCCAATAAAATATAATTTATTAATTATTAAAACCAAAATTGATACTAAATTATTCTAAAAGTTTTGTCAAAGTAATCGGGGCCAAGGATGAAAAATCTGATAATGCTGCTGAAACAACTATGTCTGGAGGAAGACCAGAGGCAATGAATTGGTCCAGAGGCAGACAATGAGGCTACTGAAATGGCTAAGTCTGGAAGAAGACCAGAGGCGAAACTATGAAGGACCAGAGGCAATGGATGGACCAGAGGCAATGGATGGACCATGGGCAATGGATGGACCAGAGGCAATGGATGGACCAACCCGTTGAATCACACAGATCTGGGCATAACATTAATTAACCTCAAAATATGGGATATTAATTTTCTAGAAAAACTTCGAAATATCCGTTCTATTTTAGTGATAAAACCACCCGAAACATAATTCCAAACCGGGTGTAACGGAGTTTTTACTTACAACCCTAATTATGTAGCAAAAGAATACGTGACAAGACTATATATAAGCTACACATACTACAACTATGAGATACGGTAATAGGCTACTATTTACCCAAAAGCAAGTTCGATATCTTCAAGTTCCCCGATAAATCTTTAAGTCAAACAACGAGTTCTTTCTTTTTATCCGTCTTCTTTCCTAAGAGAGGTTGCCACTTAAAGGGTAAGCCAACGCTTAGTGAGTTAAATAGTTAAGCATTACATATCAATATCGCACATGTTTATAAACATACATAATAAACTCTTATCAATAAAAGAGTTCAAGGCATCATCCAGATGCAAACCGAGACTTACAAGAAATCGAGTGAACAATTACGTACCGGATGCTAAGATCATAGGATTCTATATTCAAATCACCATAGTATACCATACCATTGATGCTCAATACAACAAGGAGACAAGATCAACAACCAAATATATTCAGCAACGATAGAATACCAATAAATATCAAGAACCAAGAGATCGAATTGGTATACATAACGAGGACAATGCATCACCCCGTCCTTCACCTCCCAGGCTCATGCCAAAGTCCGAGTCAGAATGATACATTACGGGAAACCTCGCACTGCCCGCCTTCCTCTACCGGGTATGTG